GGGATGGGAGTGTTCCAGACGTGGATCCAGACAATCTCCAGCACTGGGAGACATTAGGTCATAATTATTTTCAGATTAGGGATGCAAGGAGCCAATGGCAGGCAGCAGATGAATCAAGGTTGGAGTATGGGGGTTAGCAGTTGAGTTGTGTTATGGGTTGAACTATATCCCCCCTAAAAGATATGTTGAAGTTCTAATCTCCGTGACATAGAAAATGATCTTGTTTAGGAGCACAGTCTATAGTGGCTAACCAAGTTAAAATGAGGTCATTTGGATAGGCTCTAATCCAATATGACTGGCATTCTCATAAAAAGGGGAAATTTGGATGCAGGCAGATAGGCATGGAGACCATACAACTGAGTGACACATCTATAAGCCAAGGGCTACTAAGGATTGCAGGCAAACACCAGAGACGAGAAGTATTATGGTTTGGATGTAGAAGGTCCCCATAAGAGTTCATGGGTTCAAGTTCAATGCTGCAATGTTCAGAGGTAAAATGGTTGGACCTGATGATTATAATCTCATGGGTAAATTCATCCACTTGATGAATTAATTATTTGATAGGTGAATGGATTACTGGGAAGTGGGATCTAGTTAGAGGAAGTCGGTCACTGGGGGCATGCTCTGGAAGGGTCTGTCTTCTTCCTAGTCCCTTCCTCTTTTTGTTTCCTGGCTGTCGTGAGCTGAGCAGCTTTCCTGCACCGTGCCCTTTCTGCATGATGCTCTGCCTCACCTCACACCTAGAGCAATGGAGTCAGTGGACCATGAACTGAGATCTCCGAAAGAGTAGGCTAAATACATTTTTCCTCCTCTAAGTTGTTCAGGTCGGGTATTTTGCTCATAGGTATGAAAAGTTGGCTAACATAAAGAGGCATGGGAGGATTCTGCCCTAGAGTTGAGAAAGAACATGGCCCCACTGACATTTTGATTTGGGACTTCCAGTCTGCAGAGCATGAGACAATATATTTCTGTTGTCTTAAGCCACCTACCCCCTTGGGCAGGAGGTAGAACAGTCTCCACTGATGTGTTAGTTGCCAGCCATAGGCAACTAACACAACTTACTTTCTTTCCAGTGAAGAGGGTTTGGCTTCTCAAAGCCCTCTCATAAGACCAAGACATGATGCTTTGGATATAGACAAAAGAGCCAGTCATCCTCTTAGGGCTCTGGTCAGTTACTCAGATCCTCATGGTACACTGATTATGCCAGTCTGCATGTGTGCTCACGCTGGGTCCTGAGAACAATGAGCTGTCCCTGTGGTGAGTCACAGCAGATGCTTCATAGGTAGGCAGACCCTGGACTAATCCTCTACACTACTGCTCCTGAGCTGTGTGGCCAGGGCAGGAGACTTTCCCACGTCTCAGTTTTCCTATCAGCAGAGAACCATACCTCTCTCTCCTGGGTTGATGAGGTGATTATTGAGAATATATATGAAAAGTAATAAGCGCTGATCAGTTAGGGGAAAGGAAATTACATAAAAAGGGCTGAGGGTGTAGCTCAGTGGTAGAGCGCTTGATTAGCATGTGTAAGACCCTGGGTTCAATTCTTGGTACCATTAAAAATTAAATAAAATAGAGTTTGTTATCTTCAGAGAGGTCTTGTTTGATGGGGTGATTGTGGGAAATATTTTTGAGTCTGGATTGGGGGACAATGCCCTTTCCTGCCAGATGGAGCCTAGTAAAAGGGCCAGCACTTTCTCCCCTCCCTCCCTCCCTCCCTCCATCCATCCCTCCCTCCTTTCTCTCTATCCCCCTCTCTCTTCCTCCCTCCCTCCCTCCCTCCCCCGACCTCTTTCTTTCCTTCATCCTGGGGATCAAACCTGGGGTGCTATACTACAAAGCTATGATCCCAGCCCTTTTATATTTTTTATTTTGAGACAGAGTTTTGTAAAGTTGCCAAGGATCGCCTGAAACTTGCAATCCTCCTGCCTCAGCCTCCTGAGTTGCTGAGATTATAGACCTTTGCCACTACATCCAGCTATAACACTTTATTTTTGAAGGGCTGCTTCTGTGGACTCTCCTGTGCCCAGAGGCTAGCATAGCAGTTTTTTTGTCCCTTCACAGGGTAGGAGGGTTGTTCAAATGAACCACACCAGCTTGGTTGGCTTGTTCAGGATTCCCAGAACCTGACTCACTCATTACCACTCCTGCGGGAGTAGTTTCCTGTCTTTTCTTTTCCTGGTATTACCATTTCAGCTTTAACTAGGTCAACTCCAAACAGGGCCTGTGTTTGGAAGACTTTATCGCATTATTGTTGCAAATCAGCAATGGAAGAGAATTCCTCCCAGGGAAACCTCTGCACGTGGCCTTGACCCTCCCAGACTCCTGGGCTGTTTACCTGCTGCTCTTTTTACTTCCATGAATGTTCTTTCCCTACTTTGTCTTCCTGGTCAACTCCCACTTACCTTTCAGGCACTCTCTGAAGCTATCAATGCCATTCTGTGTCCCTCCAGATGTTCTTGTCACCTTGTGCTCCTATCCCTGCCTTTCCCTGGACACTGGGCGGATCTTGGGAAAGGGGACTGAACTGATTCAAAGGTCCTGGCATGTAGTTGGGATTATTAATACCTGATGCCCAATAAGTGGGTAAATGTCTGGCAAGAGGCAGGGAGAGCTGCAGCCAGTGGATGGAGGGATGGATGGAGAGATGAAGGCGTGGGATAGCGCAGCATCTCTGCCCCTGCTTTAGCTGGGCACAGGTTTGTGTTGCCTTTTAATGTGCAATGCTGTGGATTCAGGGCTGCTCACAACCCTTATGGATGAGGTAGACATATGGCAGATAAATCCATGAAAGAGAGAGAGGGAGGGAGGTTTGAACAGAGAGGGAGAGTGATGTGATTGAAACAGCTTCTCCTAAGGTGTGTAAAGTTGGTAGTCTATAGTAATCTTCCTTGATGCATTTCATAATCTGAATTTATAAACTCCAAAGAAGATCAGCATGGTGGGCCACGTGGGAGACAGTTTTAAGGGCTGCGTTTGGGGATAAATATCCGTTTGTCCTGCTTCTACCTGCAGTTCAGAGCTTATTGACTTATCCCTCCTGTTTGCTGTCTGGACTCTGGGTGGCGTTGTATCTCTGTGGCCATCTCTGTGCCTCCTCCTGTCTTGTTCTGATTGGATGTTACTGAACTTCTTATTGGACTGGGTGAGTCTCTGTGGGACCTCCCAGTTTTGCAGGTGCCTGGGTGTGGCCACGCCAGAAAACAGGGAGTCCAGTGAAAAGGCTCCAGTATGCACAGGGCCTGCGGAAGAACATGGGCTTGGAACCAGATCAATGACTGGCCCTGGCCACCGGCTGAGGTGTTTGGAGTGTGTTGTTCCATTGCTGCTGAGCAGGTGGCAGCTTTTAGACTGAGCCTGCGTGAAGACTTCTTGACCCATTCTTCCTCCCTTTATCTATCGCAGGTGAGGTGTGGGGAGGCTGAAGAGCAAAGTAAATTTATGCTTTTTTTTCTGAAAAGAGAGCTGATCAGCAAGAGTTTGTTCCATGGTTCCGTTTTATTTATTTATTGGATCCACAGTTCTTAAATGGGAGAGCTCTAAGATTCAGGGATCCTGGAAATTGATTTTATATAAAACAATCAGTGGTCCATTGATATCCAGAGGAGATTGGTTCCAGGACCCTCTGGGGGACCCCAAATTATCAGATCAAGTCCTTTCTATAAAATGGTATGGCATTTGCACAGAACCTGTGCACATCCTCTTGTATGTTTGAAATCATTTCTTGATAACTTATAATACTCAACACAATGTCCATGTTATGTAAGTACTTGTTCTACTGTATTGTTTAGGGAATAATGGCAAGAAAAAAAATCTGTACATGTTCCGTACAGACAAAATTTTTTTTCCCAAATACTTTTTGCTCTGTGGTTGGTTGAATCCGTAGATGTGGAACCCAAGGAATAAGAGCTGACTGCATCTACCAATATGGGAAGGAAAAAGGATGTGGTCTTTCCCAGGGGCAACTGCACTGGAAGGCAACCCCCACCTTCCACATTAAGAAACAACCCCCCCCAAAAAAAAACGCCTAAAGAAAACTTCAGCCTGGGTAGATCTGACTCCCAGACCTGCAGGATTTTCATTAATATTGGAGAGAGAGACAGCTTCTCAGCCTCAAAACACTTGCAAACTTGGTAACTTCAGCCAAGCCTTCTTTACTCCCCTCCCCAGCTCTCAGTTTTCTTCTTTGCACAATTGTTATACTGTCGGACTTCCTTCCTGGAGTTAGGAGGATCCAATAAGTTCATATAAATTACAAAATGTTAAATAAATGCTAAGGCTTGATGGTCATTATTATGAACAGAGCACAAACCATTCATCTCAGCACAGAGGAGATCTCGGAGTGACCTGTAGAATTAATGGGACCAATGACATTTATCTCCTGACATCCATCTCTTCACAGTCATCTGTCTCAGTCTTTGGGATGAAGTCATAAAGAGGCGCAGGTAGGTGGTAGAGCTGAAGTTAGTTTCTGCTCTTGATTTGAGCATCTCAGTCCTAGCATTTGTGTGGGTTACTAAGGAATGCTACTAGAATGTGAAACTCCTAAGTCTTGGGGTGGGGCTGGGGGGGGGTCTTTGGTGGCATCCGAGGTCTTCCAGTGTCTGCCCAACAGCTCCAGTCTCCATTTCCTGCTTTTATGTACAATCACATTTTCCTTTTCTCCAGACTCATCCATCTGTGGCATCCTGGATCAAAAATTTCCATTTTTTTTTTTCAGAAACTGTGCTAAATCTGAGATCTGATCACAACCAGAGAACCCAGAAAATCCTGTCTTGATGGCTGTCAGTCCTCCAATCTGTGAATATTCAGGAAGGTATTATGCCCAGGACAATAACAAACAATTACAATAATAACAACAACAACAAAAAAAGAAAGGTAATTTATGTTGTGAATGTGGGATTTAATTCCAAGAACTTAAGCAGAATTCTGGCCTGGCAGGCCTCACTTTGGATGATCAAAGTCCACTCCAGAGCCCTCAGAGTGTTTGCACTATCCAAGCCTTAAGGCCAGTTGAACCCTCCTCAAGGTCACCTTGACCCCACCCAGGGACCCATCGAGAAACTCTGAGAACACCAGAATGGGAGCGAGTGTCCCCTTCTTGTTAACAGAGAAGCCCAAGTACCTTCCCCAGGTTTTGGAGAAGAGAGACCAGGCAAAAGCAGCAGAAAGCCAAGATTCAGGTTCAAGTCTCTCCTCTCTGGCTTCCTGGAAGAAAGAGATAGAGAAGAGGTCATAGTCCTATAGGTTGAGTGCCATCCCACCCCAGCAAGGCTTCTCTCTATCTCTCCCAACTTTTTTACATATAAAGACAACTTTTTTATTTAGAGAAAGAATAAATATAACAAAGCACTTGTTTAACTGACAAATACAATGAACATGATATAAACTCAGAAAAAATAAGATAATTTTATTATTTTCTTGACATATCTCTAATGTTTTTCTCTTATAATCTTTGGCTGTAGAGTGTCATATGATGATGAATTTATAATATAGTTTCCCACAGAGGGAAGGATAATTTAGCCTCTCCTCTAGCATGATTGATTGAAATGTATTTATTATTGATGCTTTAGGACAGTTTCTGCTTCCTTACTCTCTGCTAGTAAAAATATGCACATTTTAAAGAATGTTTTGAAATTTGAAAAAGCATCTATCAAAATTCTTTCATGTAGGATCTCTTCCAATTTCAGGGCATTCAAAATTTTGTATGCAGTTGCTAATCTTTTAAAAATATTTATTTTTATTGAGATATAAGTCCCTTCCATAAAATTACCTCTTTAAAGTGCATAATTCATAGAGATGTGCAACCATCGTCACTGTCTAATTCCAGAACATTTCCATCACTCCAAAAAGAATCCCCATACCCAATAGCAGTCACTTTCCCTTTGTCTGTCCCCTCCCCCCTCCAATTTCTTGCATCTGTAATTCTGCTTTCTGGTCTCTGTGGATTTGCCTATTCTGAACAGTCCATATAAATGGAATCTTACAATATGTAGACTTTGGCGTCTCATTTCTTTCCCTTAGCTTACCGACCTCAAGGTCATCCATGTTATAGAATTTCTTTCATTCATGGAATCAGTATTTTCTTCATTTATAGGCTGAATAAGATTCCATTATATGAATATGTGTCATTTTGTTTACTTATTCATAAGTCGATGGCTCTTTGGGTTTTTCCCTGAATTTGTCTAGTATTAATAATTCTTCTATGAACACTTATGTGTGATTTTTTTTCCATGGGTGTGTTCCCATGTCTGTTGGGTACACGTGTGGGAGTGGAATTGGTAGGTATGTGGTGCAACTATGCTGAACTTCGTGAATATGGGCCGGAAATGATGCCTTTTCTCCTTGCAGGCTGGGAAAGGTTGGGGAAGAGGGTGTGGCGGGCTGGTGGGGAGTATAATGAGTACCCAGCAGTGTCTCTCAGTGCCCCTACTTCTTTCTTTGATTGCCCCATCAATGAAGGACTGGTATCAGCGACCTGCCTGTCAGGAAACTAAAACAAATTTATAGGTTGCAGTTCTAAAAACAGAAATGAAAGTAATTTTATTTAGTCCCAAGAGGGAAATACATTCTTATCATTTTAATGCTTCAGGGTGTGTATGGCTGCTTAGACTGGCATCCCAGCTCCACTCCTAAGAGCTGTGGGCCCTGACCAAGGGACTGGACCTCTCTGTGAGTTGGTGTCTTCATCTGTAAAATGGGGAGATACTAACATTGGTACTTTCCTTGTGGAGCTGTTGTGAGACCCCAGGATGATAAGGCACGAGACACACTCAACAAAGTCCCTGGCAAATGCTCAGCTCTTATACATACTACTAGCGACCTTATTGGCCTTCTGTAGGAATGGACGTATGTCAATGAGATGATCTCTCCAGGCTTTGATCACCAAAGTGCCAATTTTAGGGCATGTTTGAGAAGTCGCAGTCAAGAAAGGGCAGACAGATGTCTGAGCCTGACATCAACTAATTAAACTAATTGCAGACCAATCTTCAGCCCAGCCCAGTCAGAGCTGATGGGAAGCCAGTGTGACTCCTGGTTGATCTGTCCCTGAAATGCAGCGTGGGAGTGTGAGGACTTTGTAAGGAGATGCTGGCTTTGGTTATAAAATCTTGCCGTGTGTCTAGAAGCCTGGTTTCTCCTGTCTTAAGGAGCTTCCCTGAAAATTGAGATTTTTTTTTCCTAAGGTAGGTTTCAGTAAGAGAAAAAGAGATTGGGTTATCTATCATCTGCACCCCATTTCTTTTGCCAAAACCCTGCCAATTTTTCCTAGTGACAAAAATAATAAATGTTTTTTAGTTTTATAGTAGAATGTATGATTAATTTGGACAGCAGAAGAGGAGTACTGAACCCTAGGAAATCTGACCTTCTCCCTCCGTCACTCCCTCTCTACCTATCATCTATCTATCCATCTATCCAATCACCCATCCATCTATCATCTACCTACCTTCCTATCTGCCCATCTATTACTTATTCTTCCTATTTACCTATGTAGAATTCTTTCTTTCTTCATCTATCTATCTATCTATCTATCTATCTATCTATCTATCTATCTATCTTTATCTTTGTCTTTAGTAGCTGAGAATTTGCTGTTTCCCATTGATTGATGGATTCATTCAATGAACCAACTCATCTATCACCCACCAATTGTTTATAAACACTTACTGTATACCAGGCATTGCTCAGAGAGATGTGTACAATCAGAGACATGAAAAATTCTGCTCTATATGTATACTGTGAGTTAAAATGCATTCTGCTGTCATATATAACAAATTAGAATAAATAAATAAATTTTAAAAAGCGATCAATAGAAAACATATGAGGACAAGTAGCTGTAGCATAGTATATGAAATTCAGAAAAGGAACTCTGAAAACATAATAGAACTATCTAGAGATGAGATACCATCTGGAGTTGAAGGATGTGTAAGATATAACAGCAGAAAAGATGGAGAAGGTGGTACCAGGTGAGGAGAACTTGGTTTTCAGAAACATGGAGGCATCCTCAGGAGGCTGGGGCAGAGGCAGTGAGGCAGGGATTCCTAGGAGATGAGGTTGAATCATCAGGGTCTTGAATTACATGGTAAAACATTTGGGTTTTCCCTGAAATCTTGACAATAGGTTAAGCAGGCGAATGATTACATTTTCAAAAGATCCCTCTGACAGTGGGCATGGAGGTGTTAGTGGGCTGAGGTGGGAGGAGACAGGGATAATGATTAAAAGGCTCCTTGATCGTTAAGCCTCTAATCAATAAGCAATTCACTTATGTTTCATAAAGCATTAGTCAGATAATCTAGGCCATGACCCAGGGTTGACGTCATGTGAAACACATGGGAATGCATTTTATTTTTTATCTGCTGCCTGGTGAAATTTATTTTACTCTCTTTTCTCCTATTACAATCAAGGATTCCTGGTTGTTGGTGTTTTTCTCTAATGTACCTAAAACTCCTGCGTCACACCGATACTTGAAGCATGTCATGAAGGTGGTTCATTAAAATATGACTTGATTTGATTTGGCTTCAAATACAAAAAAAAAAAGGTCATACATAACTGGGTGATTACAAAGCTAAAAAAAAAAAAGTCACACCATATTTTATTTGTGCCCTACAAGGAAAGTGTACCCATGTTCCTTGAAGCCAGTAGGTCTACAAAGTGACTGCTACTTACTTACCAGCTACCTCGGTAGAAGGTCGTGGGTCCCTTTGGGGAGGCCTGGGAGAAAGAATTCATAGTATAAATTTCCTGTAGTGTACTAGGGTCCTTTCTCAAGGGCACCTGGCCTCCTCTTCATCCTGGGTCTGTAAACTGGCTCAAGTCCAGGAATGGATTGGGGAACTAAGATTCTCTGTTCTTAATGGTTTGAGTTAGACTTGGGTCCACTTGGCTTGGAGGCTTTCTACTGATACAGATAAAGCAAGGGCTGTGCAGGCTTCCATTTCCCTTCTAGGAACACCATGCTCCACCAGCCAGCCCTCTAGATCTGCGTGAGTCAGAGCACTGTATGCTGGCTTTGCCTCTGGCTGCTCATTACTGCCATTATGCCCACCATGCCCTTAGTGATCCGTGGCTGCTACGTGGCTCCTATCTCCCAGGATCCAATTATTCCATTTGTATTTAAATTTTCCAGTTGAAGGACTGTAGTTCCCACTGAAAGTTTTGCCCTACAGAGAAGAGCAATCCCAGATACTGGGATTCCCCTTGCAGATCTGTTTCCCCAAGTTTTGGTGAAAGATGTGTCATTGGGAGCCTCCATGTGAGTAGTTTTAAGTAGCTCCCCTTCCACATTAGAGGGGTCGTCATATGTGGAGGGGCCTTATCCATGGAGGGAGCCCCCAGGAATGGACAGAAAGCTACTTCAAAGAGTGATTTTCTGTCCCTGGACCTGGGTCTCCTCAGTCAATCCAGGCAGATTTGTACCTGAAGGTGGGGACCTGCAAACCTGCCAGGAGGCTGCATTCCGAGTCTTCCAAGAGTAGCCATCATCCTTTTTCAGTTTCCACACACAACCTTCTGGCCACAGATTGGATTTCCTTGGTTCCTTGAGAGTGGGGCCTGTTTTTCTCTGGGAGCAGATGTGAGTGTTTGGATGGTGGGGATTGTCCATGTGCCAGTGAAATCAATGGTGTGTCAATGGGTTATCAGAGGGTACAGTGTCCAGCCTTGCATAGTCACAGGCTCCTTCCCTGAATCCAGCTACTGGTGGCCCTCTCTGTACCTCTCCTCTGTCATGTACGAGGCTGTGTCAATAGCTGTCAGTTAGTTGATGACCTGGACTGATAATTCTATTCTCAAGCTAAGGAACAGCATTTAACTTTTGGCTAAGAGCATCATTAGGGCCCTTTGGTAAATCAAGCCAAGCTTATTTATTTGGTTCTGTTAAATACATAAAATGGGCTTATTTAATGCTTGCTTTTCCCCAATATAATTGCTCACTTTATTTAGTTTTTTTTAAAAAACAACAACAATAAAAACTTAATCCACAATTGAATTAATTAATTCCACAGCTGAGAGTTGGAAACCTCCAGACTGACAGGGCAGGTCCTACTGGTCGGCGATCTCTAGCGCACACAGTCTGTGGGGGTGTCTCGGTTGCATCACACAGAGCAGGGATCGTTTTCTACAATTCTGCACAACCCCCCTCCCTTCCAGTCCCAAGTCTAGGCCCTCAGGCACAGCAAGTGCTCACTCAGGGTAGGTTATTGGAGTGACTGACTCTCTCTGGACACTCCAGGTCACTTACACACTGTGCTATCTGGTATCTATGACTGCCAAGGTATTGACCTGGGCACACATCCCCAGGAAGGGGAGAGCTGCAAGCACCCTGCAAGAAGGAAGTCCACTGCTTGTCTGAGCAGCCAATACAATCACTTGAGATACTTCTGGTGCTTAGAGCCACTTGGCCACGTGAAAAGATGAATATGCATAATTCCCCACAGAGGGAAACCAATCTTCCCGAGGCTGCTTAGTGACTTCTTTCTTCATCCGGGAGGATTTGCATGGCCATCCAACAACTCAGTATCTTCCATAGGCTTGGCAGGAACTTAGTTTTCCCCTGTGTTTTGCAAGGTTGTGCGTGTCATCCAACCACAGGGCACCACGCGTGGGTCTCGGCAGTTGTGCAAGTCTAGGTCCTCATGTCGGCGTTGCTTTTTAACAGCAGTATTGGATGATTTTGTTCAAAGTTTAATAGGAGGCAAGGATTGTTCTAATCTAATTACTTTCCTTCCCCATGAGACAGGTGTTATTGTCCCCATTTTGCAGATGGAGAAACAACCAGAGAAGTTCAGTAACTCACCGATGATCACTAATGGACCTATTTCCTCTTGCAGTGTCGGACACCTTTCGTTCTCCATACAGCAGGTCCTTTGCATTATTGTTAATTTTTCACGATGTAGACGCTGTTGTCATTTGCCATTTCATTTATGAGGAATCCCAGGTGTGAACAAGGTGAGTCATTAATTCAAGGTCATGGTGAGAAGTGTGGCAGGTGTGGGTAGTCCCCTGGCCAGGACTATCACAGTTCAACAACCATCCTGCTCTCTTGCTTCTCAGGATAGGTGTTGACAGAATAACTTGGTTATTTGTAGGTTTAGATATGTTGCTGAATTTTTCTCCTTCAAAGCCTAGATTAACTGCCTAGGATTAATGATTATAATTCTATGTTCATAATTTATTTCCATATTTGAAGCCAGTCTACAGACACTTGAAATATATCAGATAGAACACTAAATGAGATTTCTACAGTGCTTTTGGAATACAATTTGCAACATCTATTCAAACAAATAACACTCTTGTCTTTTTTTGGGGGGGGTACCCAGGATTGAACTCAGGGATACTCGACCACTGAGCCACATCTCCAGCCCTTTTTTGTATTTTATTTAGACACAGGGTCTCACTGAGTTGCTTAGTGCCTCGCCTTTGCTGAGACTGGCTTTGAACTCCTGATCCTGCTGCCTCAGCCTCCCGAGGTGCTGGGTTTACCAGCCTGCACCACCTGGCTATGCCCATGTCTTTTTTATTCAAAGGTCTCACCTTGGGAGAGTCTCTTGTAGAAAGAAACTAAGCACTAGGGAGATGAGGTAGAAGAGTAAGGAAGTTTTGCAGCTCTGTTTGTAATGACAGAAACTGAGACAGCCTGACAACTTGCCCTCAGGGTGTGTGTGTGTGTGTGTGTGTGTGTGTGCGCGCGCGCGCATACCCACGGGTATGGTGAAGATAAGCAGGTAGATTAATCAGTTGTGATTTGTCTCTTCAATGAAACGTGCAGATACAACCTGCGTTTTCTGACTAGGGGTCTGGTTGGACGACAGGAGCAAGCAAGTAGCAGCCACATGTGCACTGAAAACCCATTCAAATGAAAAAAAAAAAGTGCCACACCCCTTCCTGTACACACCTGGAGACAACTTATGACTGTCTGAGTTTGAGACTCATGCAGAAGAGCATGGAAGGACACACTCCTGGCCGTTAAGGCTGGTTCCCTGAGAGGTGAGGACGTCACCAGTGGAAGAGCTCAGGTGGGGGCACTGCTAATTTTCGGTGCCGTTTCCCAGGTAGGGGTGAGCGGGTGGCATTTTTGAAACCTTAAAAACTAACTTGAAAAACGAGTACAGTTGACATAGCGAATGCTCTGTTCACTCTGGAAACGTGCAGTCAGATCTTAGCTACATAGTTTGGTCAGTTTTGACGAAGGCAGGCACACATGGAACCCACGCCCTCGTCATCTGGGAAGCCAAGGTGTGCTCCTTCTGGTCAATTCCCCGCCACTCCCTCTAATGGAACCAACCACTATTCTCATTTCCT